TGGATCCTGTTCGTCACCTGATCCAGCGTTCGCGGAGGCAAAATTTTGCGAACGGAGCTGTTCGTGACCCGAATTGGTCGTGAACAGAAGCGTTCGTGACCCAAGGTACCACTGTACTTTATTTTTACTTCTATTTTAGGGTGATTGTTATGTTATTAGTTTTATGCTGGACCACATCCAAAATAAACAATACCGCTACTGATACGTGGTGATGTCATCAAGCAAATGCCATGACTTACATACTTACACCAGATGTTGGGACATAAATATCTAACAGTGGCATTTGCATGATGACATCAACATGAAAGTGCCATTTTGATGTCACCGATGTTTGGTGTGCACCCGTATAGGACAGTTCCAAATGAAGAGCACAATTTTATCTAGTTGTGTCTTTCATTTGGAGCTGATGCTACCAGTTAATCAAATTCCCTCTTCCCACAGCTTCTTCCTGCAGGCCTTCCCCATCTGCTCTGGGGTTACACAGGAATAAGAACACCCTGATACAGAGGAAAAATAGAAAAGAATTGTAGTTTCCTCCAGTCTCTTTTGATAGCTTAGCAGGCTTGTGGATAATTACAGAGAAAACTTTTAAAATTAAAAGTACACTGATTGGCGTGTAAAGAAACAAATGACTAGTGGATCCTGGTCAATTTTGAAATCTAATATGGAAATGCAGTAGAGCAATCCCCACAGATATTTAGCCAGCGCTGTCCTCAAGAAATTCTGTCGAGATTGCCTTAATCACAGAAGAATAGAGGAGGTAGGGGACAGGCAGATCTGCCCCTTCTCCAGCCATTGTAGCACTTACGGAAATTGGCAAGAGAGAAGAATAGAGAGACCTGTACTTCATACAGTGGGTTCTGCTGAGAAATAGTCACCTTCCCTCCTTAAGAAGTTGCCCATGGGCTCTGCAACTGAAGGATTTTCAAAACCAAGTTTTACAGAATGTCCCAGAAATTTATTAGAACACAGGTGCATAATGTGTTATAGTTTGTGTCTATTTTTAAAATAATTTCTAGGATGGTAGTTGCTGTCAGGCTTTTAGAACATCCAATGCTTTCTTATAATTCATGTTCAATTTGGTCTACATTTGCCCATAAACTTTAGTGAAAGCCTGATGAAAACATTCATCTCACATTTTATGTGCCATATTTCCAGCATTGGAAAAAATGACAAATCTTTTCCCTCATTCACTTAACATGGAGGTCAACTGACAAGACAATGTTGTCTTTAAACTTCACCATTTTTACCTGTGCAAACTAGAACTATGAAAAATGAATTGGATTACAAATGAGATTTATTATTCTTTTGGTAAAATGTTTCTGTTTATGCAAGCAGGGTGGGGAACCTGTTTCATCTTGAAGTCTATACTTCATATATATCCTCCTTTAAAAGTCAAAAGGAGTATGTCCAGGGATGAAGTGATATAAGTGGGTGGTTAGGTATGAAAATGTTTACTATGTTTGAGAGAGCTTAAGGATGGAAATTGATCGCATCACGAAGGCATAATGCCTTTATTTTCACCTTTATTTTTGGTGGGAGAAAGGAAATAAATTGCACTGCCATTTTGCTGCCAAATTGATCAGGAGTCTGCAAAATGGGGACCATGAAATGACTAGCCCTGGATGAGACTGTGTAGCAGAACAGGAAGAAATAGCCATTAAAGATAAATGGTTATTCAAACCTCAGTGCTTGCTAGGGAAACTGCAGTGACTTGTCTTATGTGCTAAAAATGCTTCCAGATACAATTACTCTTTGAGCAAATGGCAGCACCTGGTAGTGGACCTAGGCTGATCTAGAAAGCAGGAGTGTCCTTGATTACTATTTGATAGGAGGTCCTCCTGGGAAGTTTAGGGCTAGTGACTATATTGGATTGGATGGATGGATATATATATCGATCCATCCATCCATCCATCCATCCATCCATCCATCCAATATAGTCACTAGCCCTGAACACACAGACACTCATTCATTCATTCATTTTATATATATATATATAGCCAATATAGTCACTAGCCCTGAACTTCCCAGGAGGCAATGACAAACCATTTTCATATCAAGCCAAGAGAATTGTATGGATGTATCTGTGGAAATCATTTCGAGTCAAATTCAGCTGAAAGGGAGCTATTTTTTAATATTTTTCTAGGGCTGCCACGTATGTTAGTACTATTTATGTAAGGCGGAGAGCAGAAAATTGAAGCCATGTAGACCAGATATTTATAACATCCTTCCCTTGGTCAGTTCCTTTGAACCATTTATTAGCACCCAAGTCCTACCATTCTTAATGAAATGAACTTCTGTGCGTGCATAATTGTTTATGCTTGCAAAGCTTTAAAATCAAGCAATTACTTTTTTATCATGTTGAGAGATCTTTACAAGTTTATGTTGAAAAAAAGTGTTATCTTAAAAGTTTGCAGATGGTGTGTACCTGGTGCTCCTGATGGGTCTTCTTGAAGGTTATTTTGTGCCTCTTCACAGCTTTTTCCTAACTCCTGATAGTTTTGAACAAAAGGTAAATATTTTATGCATTTAAAGAATTAATTTGGTTATTTATGTTTATACTGGTCATCCTCCTAAAAAAGTTCATGGCAGTGTACAAAAAAAAAGCAATAAAGCTAAAATTGATTTAAATAAAAATTAAATAAATGTTACTCTTGGCAGTTCCTTTGGTATGTATTTTTAAAGTAATATTTCATGATGTTATGTAATATCAGTAAACAAGTCTAGATTTATGAATAATTGTTTTCTCTTAATTAACCCATCAGGTACTCAATGTGTCATTTGCATTTGAGTTAATGCAAGATGGAGGGCTGGAAAAACCAAAACCAAGGCCAGAAGGTATTTGTTGAATATCTTGAGAATACATTCCATTGGTAGAGCCACCTAAAAATTATGAGAAAGCTTCATAGGAAATAAATGCCTACTTCCATTTGATAGTCTCATAATTATGAGGATTAATTTATTTTCCACTATTTGTTATGTTCTTAAAAACACAGCAAATGAAATGCTAATATCTTAAGTAAATATAAATTTTAAGGTTCATTTTTTCAGTCCAGAAGAAATTTGATAATTCACAGATTTGATCTTCAGAATAGCACTGATGATCTCTAGAAGTAGTATTAATGATATTCCTTCTGCCTATACAGATTTGAGAAAACTTGAAAGGGGCATTTACTCATCATAATGCTACCATAATCACAAGATTCCCCCCCCCCCAAAAAAAAGTAATGAGATAATCTCAGAATGTAGTGGTTGAAATAATTATTTTCCTGAATCTAGCAAAAGCTCCATTGATGGATTTGATGCCAAAGGGATAGGTGGCAAGGGTACCTCCTGACATCAGGTTTTGGGGGTGTTCTATCAAACTCCAGAAGATGAAGCTCAGTTTCAAAGCCCATTTTAGAGTAACTAGATCTGGAATTTCTGAATAGGATATCTCCAAACCCCTGAATTCCTACTTTTGTTTTTGGAAGGGTGGGCAGTCTAAAAAAACTTGACATAAATCCTTTCTAGAAATAAAAATCCAATATTTAACTTCAGGCCTAAATTGCCACTTTGTCTTCCTGAATCCATTGCAAAAACTGGAGATCTTTCATTCAGAGTGAATATAGAAAGTTGCTTACCCAAGAAAAGCCACCTGATTAACACTTGATTGGAAAGGAATGGGAGCAGGCTCATTTTGCACAAATTGAACCATCTAAATTCATTCTGGGGTGGAGTTAACCCAACCTATACACCCAGTGGAGCCAAGATTATTGTCCCAGGGTTGCTTCATTAGGGTGGAAATGAATGAATGAAGCACAATTCATTGCTTCATTCAATGCCTAATAGCTATTATCTAACAGCTGTGATAAAGATCATTGGCCCACATTGCTAATATTGATCATTTTCTTCAATCAGTTTGGGAGATAGAAGGGAAACTGGTGGAGCTCTCTGGTCCTCAGTGGGCCAAGCCACAGAATGTGTTCCTGTCATCTAGGATTTGCTATTTTAATACTCTTCACCCTAAATTCCTTTTTCCTTAAAAAATGGTGGGTGGGGTGGGAGGGATTAGATTATATTTTTAAAAATGCTCTAGATACAGCAAGTAATAGAAGATCTGTGTGTTAACATTAGCAGGAGCTGCTCTGTGTTATCTATCTACTTAGATGGGTTCAGCTTTTACCGCATGGCCTCAGTCCAAGTGAATGAAGATAGAGTGGGAATTGTAGAGTTAGGCTGAAATGGAGAAATACTATGATTCCATATCTCTTGTGGCCCATTAATGTCATTACAACATTTCAGTTTTTCAGTATTAATTGCTTAGAGAAATGGTTGATTTTTTTCTCCTGTATAAATCAAACCATACAGACATTTCAGCATTCATGTACAATTATTGACATGTTTAATATGAAACTTCCTGCTCAATATGAATGGAAAAACACATCTGTTTTATATGTTGTTACATCTGGGCAGAATGCCCATGCTTAGATTTTCCAGCAACCATGTGAGTACTGAAAGGCATTTTAATAATCTAAATGTGAACATAAAATAGCTTTTAAATTCTTCCCTTGTTTTTCTGAATGAAAAGTAGTTAGGAACAAGAACAGAGTAAGAAATTGGGTATCAGATCTTTTGCCTATAAATAAAACTGGCACCTCCGTCACCAATGAAATGAAATGTTTCTTTCCCAGCTTTCATACAGCTTTGCATCACCGTAAAGAGATGAATTATGTAACATTCAGCAGAAGAGCATTTCCCTGGTTCTTTGCTGGGTGCTGTGTAAAAATCATTTATTTTTCCTGCTACTCAACATCTACCACCTTTTCCTCAAAGCAATAATGTTGTTGTCCTTTGTATCAATAATGACTGACAAAGTCAGAGCCCCTAGCCTTTTTGGACTGGTGGGACATTTAAGAGCATGTTTGCCATTCTTGCAAAATGTCTGCAGCAGCGGGGTTGCCCTTCACAAGTTGAAATTGCTGGCATAACCAGTTATAAAGCTATGTTCTGCCAAACTATTAAATACCACTCTGTCCTCCTATTTTGGTTTATATGTATCCTTTTTCTTGGCAGATAGGCATACTTCCAAACATTGCACTGTTCTTCAGACATGCCTCACTTTTATGGGGAACAGAGGCATTTTGGGTGGAGAGGGAAGGAGGAATGCCAAAGGATTGCATTTTGCTTTGGAGTGTGCCAACTTCATATTTCTATTTAATAAAATGATTTTTAAAAGAAAATGATAAACCTGATGAGGGAGAGAGCCTGGCAGGCATCAAAAGCGATGGGGGGTGGGGGGCACATTGATGCCTCCAGAAGTTGCACTGGGAATCTCATTGTCAAGGTTTTGAAATAACCAGCCTTTTAAAAACCTGGAGCTATAAAGGTCATTTAACAAACTACTTTAAAAAATGCCTTCCATGTTCCTACAATTGACAGCATAAATCAAATGTTGCATTAATATGTGTTCATTCTAAACACATAAGCAGTCTCAAAAGCAATCACAGGCAGCAGATCCAATCTCATATTCATTTCTTGTTAATACCTTAATATGGAATACATTTGTCAAAGACAACACACAATAAATTAGAATCTTTCACTAGTACTAGCCTTATGCAAAGTGTGAATATGCATGGAGCCCAAAGAGGGAAAAAATATAGTGGTGCTCTTCAAAATAGCATTTGTTTTTCATCCCTGCCCAACAAGTGCTCTGACGAAATTGGATTGCAAGTTCCAGAATACCCAGCTAGTATTGTTCCATCTCTTGGAATTTGGGAAGTTGTCATCCCACTCATCAAGAAGGTATGAGGCTGGGATAGGCTGGGCCAGACCAACAAGAGAACTAAATCTAATCCTCCTGTTATCCTTAATCCCACTCAAAATATCCAATCTTAATATCCAAAGTTTAAAAACATTCCCTTCTTTGATTTCTGATAAATGCTCAGTCTTGAGTAATTAGAATTATTATTCAATTTTTGTTTGAATGTTTAAAATACCTCTTGTTCATTCATTTTAATGTTATGTGTGTTGTTGAGCAGCAAATCCCACTGAATTTAGTCTATCTCAAAAAACTAAACTTGGGCAAACCTAGTACTTGCTTGGGAGATCAATAACAAATCTCAGAGCTGTAGGCAAGATTGGCACGTTGAGAAAGGATCCTGGAGGAATGTGAACTACCTCCATATTGTTTGCCAAAAGAGTTGCACTGAAGGCAGCCCTGAGATTTACAGAATTAGTGCTGCAAATTTGGACTGTGTAATTCCTGAAAAGTAAATTGTCATGCTATCCCAGAGAGGCCACTTGCTAGTCTCCTGAAGATTTTTAAAAAATCATGTGTTCAACATTAACATTCAGAATCAAATGGATATTCACCGACCTAAGATAAGGCTTGAGAGAAGTTTCATAGTGACAGGACTGGCTCAGATTCAGCACACATCTCAGCCTCAGTGGGCAAACCTAGAAGGGTGACAGATTGGAACTAGGCCCCTCCCACAATTCTCCAGACCCAATGCCAGGAATGACTAGCTCCATACATACCTCAGTCTCCACTTTGGGTGGGAGCCCACTCTCCAACACACAATTCCCAGAAGTATCAAGGCTGGTGTCTGTGTCTAGACTAGACATGGCTAGAGCCATGTCTAGCCAAAACCTCACACAGGAAGTTCGCAGAGTGAGATATCAAGACTGGCAAATGTTCTGGAGGGCCTGACAATGCCTTTCTTGCTGTAGCAGCAAAGAAATGAATGGCATGGCTTATGGAAGGTGTGTTAAGTCTAAATGTCTCGTTCTGGTCAGTGGCTGATGGCAGACCAGCTGGAGCAGCTGTCTCATCTCAGTCAGAAGGTCCTTTTCAGCCATGCATGCTCAGTAGCAATACTGAGGAGAAGCTGAGAAATGTTTTAGCTTCTAATTTTTCAGCTTCCGCTGTATTAACAAAATCAGAGCTACAGAACTACTTGACCAACTGAGTCTAATATGTCTTTTGAGCCATTTATTGTAGCCTGCCAAGTGCCTGATCACCCCATATGTTTCTAATCCCACGTGAGCTGCAAAACCAGAAGGTCTATCGCCCACTTAGGAGCCATAATTAGATAGTGGGTGGGTTGCGTTTGGTTTCATGGGTCCAAAACTACACAGGCCTGTTCCAAAGGAATGCACTTGTCACTTGAAGCCAGCTTTTATTATAATCCTGTAGGTTGGCTGCTAAAACTCTATTAAATTCAAATGGCTTTCAGTAGTCTTACTACATAGAAGAATTGCAGACTTGGCCTATAAATGTGAATGTGTGATTATGTTTCTTCCCAATGTGGGCCTTTTAATTTTCTCACTGTGATTTCAAGTTATTTAAAAAGCTCACCTTTCCTCCCCTCCCCTTCTTTTTAGACATCGTCAACTGCGACTTGAAGTCAACGCTGAGAGTGCTCTACAATCTGTTCACCAAATACAGAAACTTGGAATGAAGAAAAAAGCACATCAGGAAGCCATGGGTGGCAAAATTGGAACCAAACAAAAAAGCTCTCCTTTCTTTGCAGTCATTCTATATTTACACTACGCTTTCTTCAAAGGAAATGGCACTCTTTCTTGGAATGTTCTTTGTTATTAAATTTAAATATTTTGTTAAAATATTTAAATTAAGACAATCTTAATTCACCGATGTTAGAAAGTGAAGATCTGCTGGAAGCTAACAGGTTTGGTTGAGAAAAAGCAGGTCACTATACTGGGTTTAGCTGTCTTTTAATTTTTTAGAGAATAAGCACCAGGCACAAATCCTGATCCACAACCAAACTAAGCTAAATTACTGCCAAACAGAAATAAGAATCTGCTCCAATGAGCTATTTGGAGAAAAACTCATGCATGCTGTTTTTTATATTGCTGTGCAGGATCTGTCTCCTTGTGCAAGACTCTGCTGCCTTTGGCCTAGCTTCCCTAGTGTTCCTCCTTTTCTTCATGTGGTTCCTCTGTGCCACACCAAGGACATAATTGGACACATGAGATGGAGGCCCAGGCTCTGACTGCATTGGGCTTTTCATCAGTACTGGAGCTGGAACAAGAGTGCCACCCTATACTATTTTTCCTATATATTCACAGAGGTCATGATTGATAGGAACAATGTCCCCCCTTACTTATAGCAGCACCCAACAGCTTTTAGCATTCATGCCACAAACTGCTGTTTAAGGTGTGGATGGTTCACAGAATGATATAAATTTACATTTTCCAATGTAATTAAGTTGTAGATTCTGCCGCAGAATTTTGTTTCTCTCTCTCTCTGTACATTGAATGTTTATTTTGGGTAAATGATCCATTTTATTCATAATATGATTCAAAGGTCATGAGGAAGGAAGGGAGGGAGGGCGAGAGAGAGAGAGAGAGAGAGACCACGTATAGTTTGATGATGCACATTAAACAGCTTGTGCCACTATAAGGGGCCAGCTTTTTGTTCCCAATATATACATTCCACATATTTTTTCATTCCTATAAAGTCTGCATGAAGTTTTCCTTTAAATATACACAACTGCGCACTTAAAATAACACACAGTATAGTATCTTTGGCAGTAGAATTCTCTTGTTTACTTGCAAAGACTGAGGTACGAAATATGTACATACTATAATAGTGTGGAAAACTATTACAGCAAGAAAATCAGTACAGTGCCATAAATTCTGGAAATATAGCTGAGGTCAGTCCTGCCAGGGCATTGGAAAATGAAATAAGCTTTGTTTACTTAATGGTAATGAGATAAGAAAGAATATAATTGATAACAGTAAGATAGAAGGTTTAGAGAAATACGAAAATAAATTACTAAAAGTGAAGTGTTTTTGTTCAACTTGTTTTCTGAATACCTCAGATGAATGAGAAATTCTGATTATTTACAGAAAACCAGACAATGCTGTACTGTTGGTTTTGAACAACAGAATTAGACTGTATACAAATAAAGTATAAATTTTTAATATAATATATTTTTATTCAGTTTGATTTATACTTACTTTGTAGTGAAATTTTAGAAAGAGCAGTTTAAAATGTATTCTCTATGGAAAATGATAAACATAAATGTAAAATAATATCTCTACCTATTTTATAAAGTTAGATTCTGATTTTAAATATGTCTTTCATTTAGTGCCTTTAGGTAGTACACAATAGCTTCATTTTTTGTAGTTCAAACAAAACCATTCACATTATATAAGAACATGCCTTTTGCCCTCCAGAAGATGATATGTTGCTCTAAGTACTCAGTGGCCCAGATCCAATTTCATCTAAATTTTCACCGTAGTAAGTTTGCCATGCAGCATTTTATGGAGTTTATGTATTGCTCAAATTACTATAAGAATTGTGTATGAGGAGGGATTATATGCCCAAGTAAAACGCTTGTTCTTATATTCAGATGTGATTTGTTACATAGCATTTTTCATTGTATGAGGATTGTGATATAAATGATACATAAAATGTGTCTAAATTATTTTATATGTTCAAAGAGACTAGTTCTCTGTGAATCCTTGATCGTTGAATTTTGCCCATTGTGTGGAGACGATATAATTGATTATGTTTAAGGTTCAGAGATACTTAGTATACCCTAACTCACTGAATCACCATTCTCTAAAATACTTTTGGATTTTAGATTCATGTTCAGTTTGATTTAATCTCCTTGAACAGCAACATGTGTCATCACGTGCAGAAGCTCCAGGGAAAAGCTGTATGCTGGTTGCTTACATTACAAAATCAGAGTTAATGTTGTGAAGGGGAAAAGGCTGGAATAGTTGGTGATTGCCAAGAAAAGCAAAAATTCTCATCAAGTCATTACTTACGCTAAGTAAGGAGGGGGAAATTACATCATGCCAATCATTTATGATGATCCTTTTTTCAAAAAAAGCACAACACTGTCAGACTTGAACTCTTGTGGCCAATCTAGCCAATTGATATAAAATGCAAACAATTGATTTAAAAAAAAATGGAATTCTCCCATAATAGGAAAAGCATATCCAATGTAAAGTTGAAACAATAAGCAACCCTTGTTATTATTAAATGCAGCTTAATTGCTTAGTTTTATAAATAAGGTTGGTATTTTGTCCAGTAAAGGAACAAATTCTTGAGAGATATTTAACCAGGTCAACAAAAGGTAATCAAAGCCAGCATAATTGTACCAAAAAAAAAAGTATCTTGCCATTTATATAATTAGGTGAAGTAGTAACTAATAGATGGTGTGTGTGAAAACAGTACTATATTGGAATTTGAGTTTCTAAGTGTAAGCAGAACTTCCAGTTCTGCAGAGTAGCAACAGCTTAATCTACAGATATATTAGATTAAAAAACTGAAGTGGAATTCAACCCACTCCATTCATGTACAGAGTTCTGTGTTTTCTGACATACATTTCTGAAGCAGGTTTATCAGCTGTATCTCCAAAAGGAGAATGCGTAGAGCAAACACACACCTGGTTCCTCATGGGTCCTCATGAGGCAAGAGTTACATTTTCCTCTTCAATCAGGATGCCAGGCTAGATATATAGCGCTGTGTTCTTGGCATACGGGCCTCTATGATACAGGAGGAGAAGTGCCTAGATATCCATAACTGCTTGAACATCTCCAGTGCATTGCCTAGCTTTAAAGTGCTTTCTGCAAATCATGATTTTGTTAATGGCATTTTCTTATGAACTTGTAAATTTTTTGAAGTGTATTTTTGTCAAAATACCAAACTAGGTATTAGATCAACAAATGTCTCATGGACAACGAGTTGCTTCCATTTTCAAATCTACAAATGGTTGACAATTGAAGGTGCTTTCTGCGATTTTGCAAAAAAAAAACAGCCCTAAATGGGTGGTTATATTTTGTAGCAGGTTTTGTTTTAGCTGAAATGCTATTTCTATATATCATAAAAATACATATTATGGTCATGGAATTGTTTGATAATGTTCATACCCAAGCATTATATGGCTTATATAAATTGAGCCTTCTTTATGTTTCTCATGGAGATATATCATCAATAGGAAACTAATATGGAATAGAACCTATAGATTATATCTAATATTTATTCCATTTGAAAAAATATAGGAAAAAATATACAATTATGCTAACGGGTTCATTTCTGTATCAGATATAGATTTCAGAACTATTAAAACTCATGTTAACCTAAATGGATAAATTTGCCATGTTTCTCTGATAATGAAGACTGATTTATCTGTCCCTTTGATTGTTGTTGAAAGTAAGGAAAGCTTTAGGGCCCACACTGCCTAATTTAGGATATCAATTATTTTTGTTGTCCAAATAGTGATAAATATCTTTTAAAAAATAGTGTAATTACCTGTAGGATTAGCAGACTCTCTGAATTCTGAAAACCACAGGCCTATGAGCTGATGGGAAGATAAGGAAGGTTAAATAAAAACCGCTGCCATGGTGTACAGTACTGTACACAGCCATGGAGTTTTTCTGTTTGCAGTTTCTCCTTCCTATTTAGTAACCTCCATGCCTATGAGACCGCATCTAGCTTATATGGACTCACAGTTTATGAGGTACAGATTTATGAACTAGTGCCTCTGCATGGAAAGGAGACCTGTGAACACTGCCATTTGCACATTCGTATCATCTGTAAAAAGGGTCTGCTATTGTTGCATCCTTAATAATGGCCATGCGTTTACACAGTCTTGGGAGGACCAAAATTTAAATCCTGAAAATCTAGGGTTAAATTCAACATTGTGTGAGCAGGTTTTTGCTCACAAGAGAGTCTCATCTCTCACTTCTGCACCTGTGATGGACCCTTGAAATCTGCTCCAGTGGTTTCAGAAATCTTTGCAGCAGATTCTCAGATTGTTTGGGATTGGGAGGAAAGTTTTCAGCCAGTAATAGTGGAAGTGAAGAGTAAGAGATCAGAGAAACACTGTGAAGGTGCACTTGACACCCAAGACTGAGAAATGAGTGTTAAAATGTCTTTTATCACAGTGTTCCTCAACCTTGTCAATTTGAAGGTGTCTGGACTTCAACTCCCACAATTTCCCAGGCAGCCATGCTGGCTGGGGAATTGTGGGAGTTGAAGTCCAGACACCTTCAAGTTGCCAAGGTTGAGGAACACTGTTTTATCACATAAGGGCAGAGAAGACACAAGGTTCATACCTGAGAACTGACATAAATATGGCTAGATTCCTAGATTCTGCAGTAGCTGATCTTCACTATAAGGGCTTCCTTGGTATCTGCAGTAAAATCAACCTACCTGTTTGAGTCTTGTGCTTGAATCTTCTGCTGCTAAGGTTTCGCATTTTGGATCCTAAAGAGAGATGCATTGCTATGCCCATGGTGAAGCTCTGATAGTAGGGTGTCTTGAGTGCAGATGAGTTTTAGAAGGCAAGGGAAAACTGTTTTCAGCAATGGAAACATATCATTGAAAGCAAAGATTTATCTAATGTTCATTGTCTGGAAAATCTAAATATTGTAGACAGGTTCAGTCAAGATTCAGGTCCAGTACTGAGGCAGCGTTGATTGTGCTTGTTTTTGACTTCTGGTGGGTTTGGAATGGGGGTGGCGCATCCATCTTGGCCCTCCTTGATCTCTCAGTAGCCTTCGATGCCATCAATTACGGTATCCTTCTGGGCCAGCTCAGGGGATTGGGAGTGGGAAGCACTGTATTACAATGGTTCTCCTTTCTCCAGGGCTGGTTCCAGTCAGTGTTGTTGGGCTGCAGAGGCTGAGCCTGAGGCCTCTGCTCTATGGCAGGCCTCAGGGCTCTCCTCTCCTCCCACTTCTATTTAACATCTACCTGAAACCACTGGGTGAGGTCATCTGCCAGTTTGGGGTTCAATATTATCAGTATGCTGATGATACCCAAGTATATCTTTCGATCTCAGGCCAACCAAGTGATTTTGCTGTGATCCTTTCCCAGTGTCTGGAGGCTGTGGGGATCTGGATCCCTTCCCTCAAACAGGTTTTGGCTCAGTCCTGGCAAGACTGAGTGGCTATTGGATTTAAAACCCCCCTGCCCAGGCTCTGGGGATTTTCCATCTTTAACTCTGCCTGGGGGTGCATTTGCCTAGTCAGAGTTGTTGGACAACTGGGGGGTCCTCCTGGACTCACAGCTGTGGGTAGGGAGATCTTTCCACAGTTTTGTCTTGCGCAACAGTTGCACCTGTTCCTGGACCAGAAAGCCTTACTCACAGTGACTCATGCCTTAGTCACCTCCTGTTTGGATTACTGTAACATGGTCTACATGGGGCTGCCCTTGAAGAACATTCAGCAGCTGCAGTTGGTCCATGCAGCAGCGCAGTTAAATTTTGGTATTTCTTATTATACCCATATAACACCAGTGCTGTGTAAGCCACCCTGGCACCCAGTAGGCTACCAGCTATGATGTAAGGTGCTTGCTATCACCCATAAAGTCCTACATTTGCTATTTGCAGGATTGCCTCTTGTTTCTGCACACCCCAACAGATCTAACAGGGAGGACATGCTCCAAATCCCTTCCATCAAACAGTGTCATTTTGTTGGACCCAGGAGTCATGCCTTCCCTGTGGCAGTGCCTGTCCCGTGGAACAGCATGCCTCCAGAAGTCTAGATGGCCCCAACCCGGTTGGCTTTGTGTAAGGTGCTGAAGACCAGGCTGTTTCCCCAGGCATTTGGGCCAGGAGATTAGGCGAGCTCTACTGGTAATGCTGCTTTTATGATTTCGGTTTATTGTTTTAACCTCAGGTGTCTTGGCTTGGATAGTTCAGTGTTAACTTTCTATGCTGCCCAGAGTTGTTGTTGTGAGATGGGCAGCCATATAAATCATACGAATAAATAAATCAGATAGGCTAAAGAAGGTTTCTGGCAAGAATATTGTTCCAGTTTGAAAGGAGTTCTGAACATCTGTGCTACTATAATCTTGGCTGGGTTTGAAGACTAAGTCAATTTATTTCTGCCTCAGCTAGAGTGTATTTGAAACTGCAGTAAAACTAAAACTTTCTTTAAAATGCTACAGCTTTATTAAGCTTCTGCAGAGCCTCAAACCTCCTTCCAACTATTGGGCTTCAACAGCCCTTGCAGATCTTTTGAAGAGAAAGGTGACTTGAAAGCTATGCATCTTCCCCTCCGAATATCCACTCAGACTATTTTACATTCAACCAGACAAATGTACCAAACATGGGGAGGTTTATGTAAATTTTATTTTATTATTTTGTGTGGAATGGGAGTGAGAGTATTTTGTTCTAGGGCAGTGACTGTTTACTCTTTGCCTGAGCATTGTGAAGTTGACAGAACCTACTTTTAAGGATTGGGGATGAGAAATGGGGACAGTATGGAAATGCCCTAAATTAGCTTGAGTTACAGAATTAATTTGTATATTTATCCTGTTTTCCAGCCATTGTCCCTCTGCCACAATAATTTGCCAGTAAGTTCATCTTGGGATGTCTATAGTGAAAGATGATAGATAGATATAGATATAGATGACATAGATACAGTTATAGATATAGACACACAAACACACACACACACACACACACATGCTGATAGGGTTTTTGATGCAGCAGGTTTATAGGCCCAATCTGCTAATCAATATTGCTTGCATAGATATTAAGATAAAAGACACTTAATCAGTGTAATTAGCCTTTGACTACTTTTAACACTGACCCTTTCATTGACATTCCAAATGAATCTCCTTGATTCTTTTCATTCTTTTATTTGTTCAACACCATCCTGCTACATTGCAAAGTGGTGCTTGTATTTCACTGGTCAGAACATCGCGTCTGTTTTTAAAACACATTGTGGCAAGCTTCAGTTTCTTTTGCTGTAGCTTCCTCCCCAAAGGTATTTGTTAAAATGGTAAGGAATAAGTCCCATTCAACTTAATGGAGCTTACTTCTGAATAGAAATATGTAGGATTTGTACTATAAAAAGTTGAAACACTATGGCATGCAACAGCTGAAATTGTGTGTGTGGGGGGTTATGGGTTGTCCTTTCCAGTTACAGGTAAACTAGCATACCTAAATGCTTCCATTCTTTCAGAAGCCATCTAATGAGGCTGAGAGGTTAGAATCAGGAATTTGAAGCAAATACTTAACATCCCCTCCTGTGCACTGGGTGGGGTATAATCAATAAGCATTGAACCCACTGAACTAAGCTAGCAAGCACTGTGGGGTAACTGCTGCTACTGTGTACGTGTGTTAATTTAATACACATTTAAAGTCCATTACGAATCAGCAAAATTCTTCTGATTATAACATTAGATTTGAACATATTTTGAAATGCATTTGGTGTGGGAAAAAAATACTTTATTCTGGGCTGGTGTTGGAGATGCGTTCACTGAATAACCTGAAAATTGCAGGAATTGTTTTCCATAATGTTAATGATGTGTTTAACACCTCCTGGTCCTGTGCATTTGAATTTTAATACATTGTTCTTTGTCATCTATGTAATTAAAAATGTTGCTTTTCAACTATTCTAATAGATCGGTCCAATTGCCAATTGAGTAACATTTCTTAATAAATCTATGTTATATATACTGTGAAACAGTAAATGGTGTCTTGTTTTGATTTTTAAGACTGCTTCATCATACATAATAATAATCTAAAATTGTAATTGATGGCTATATATGTGAAATTATTCATATCAAAAATAGTTGTTTGGATATATCTTTCTGTTATATTATCAAATGTATTATTCCTATTTAATAGGATATTAATAACTAATGTAATAATAGCTAACATTGGTCCAGATCCAGCCCTCTCCCCCATAAGATTAATTCTACACACCCAAGACTGCTTAAGATTTTCCTTATAAAAATGGATCACTTGTGCCACACAGCAGACTTTTTCTTTTCAGAAGGTTTAAAACCTTTTCAGAAGGTTCTAAAATGATGTGTTACATGGTATGGAATATGTGTCCAAAGCTGGCACAGAAATTTGACTGGATGTGCCTTAGGATTTGAAGATGTCTTGATCTTCGAGATTTACTGTTGTCCTCAGTGAGATTTTGCTTTGCTTTATTAAACTAAAAAAAAAACTAAACTAAACTTAAAGTATAAGTTCAACTTCCTCTGGGATACTTATAAGCACCCAAAAAGGAAGCTGAAGAGAGAATTAGATTTGGTAATGCACACCTTTCCAGAGGTAACAGTAATAGAGAATACCTTGAATGGTTCAAAAACATATTCTATCCCCTAACTGCTTGTCACCTATAGTATTTGGTACCACAGATAATGGTATCTTGGACTGAACATCTCTCACGGATACACATATCTCATTATTACTGATATCTTCAAGTTACCAACCTTGGCCCACTTGATGGACCACATGCCTTCCAGGGATTGCTGAACTACAATTCCTCAAAACATATTCAGTTAAACCTTTTAATGTGTATTCTGTAGATTTTTTTTAATTTGGAGCACCATTTTTCCATTATGGCTAACTAAATAATTTAGTGTTAAAGGTAAATACTGATAATCATTCAAATACCTGACTTAATAGTTGTCTCAGAAGAGGTATGGCTACCTGGCTTTCACATTGCAGAATGCAAGTTGGCATTCATGATAAATCTCACATATCCAGATAAGTTTATTTTGAATGTTACACATGCTTTTTATACTCTTTATGGAATCTGTACCTTCTGGAATGTCCAGCAACAACTGAGCCAGTTACACATTGCTTTCTATTCTTTCTAGTTTGTCTAGAAACTTAGTTTGGAAGAAACTTGGGTCTATTGTAGCTAGTGCTGCCTATGCATGGCTTTTTGGGGAGGGAGTAAGTCTTGTGCCCTTAGCTTCTGCCCACCTAGCAGCTCAAAAGCATAAGCGAGTAGATAAATAGGTACTCTCACCCCGGTGGGAGGAAAAACTCTGGCAGCGCCTTGCACGGGAAAACAGGAATCGGTTGCTGGTTACTGGACACAACGTAACAGAAGAGACTTGATTTCCTGTGGCTGCCAGCTGGGCTCGGCCCTAGGAAGGAAGCAATGGCAAACCACTTCCGAAAAAGCTCTGCCAGGAAAACTGCAGGGACTGGTCCAGGCAGTCTCCGTAGAATTGAAAGCGGATTAAAAAA